CTCTCCGTATATCACTATGGTGATCTGTTTAACTGAAGATGAAGTGTGGGTTTTGGAGAACTCGTCTATTCCACTCAATATCCCTTGGGCCGTTGTCTGGGTGGGATAGTGTCTGTAGCGGCTACCAAGAGCAGGGAAGCCCACCGACACCAGGTTGTCTTTTTCTGCAGCTTCCAGGCATTTGATAACAATGTCCTTAATATTCTACAGAAGATAAAATACAATTTTTCCCCCCAGAAGCAATGCGAATACAATAGCTTGGGCTTATAAGTACAACCATAAGTACCCAAAAGTCAAACGTTAAAAAGTTTTCTATTTGTCCAAATCAAAACGGAGCCCTATACTGATTTCTCAGCTGAGAAAAATGTGTTTACCGTATACACCGATATGGTTTCAATGAACAAGAGCTTTAAGGTACTCCGATCCTCAGCTAAGAAGGATAACTCTTTATTTAATTCAACTTTGATAAAAAAATCAAATATTATTTGTACAAAACATTTCATGGATACGGCATAGCAACTTTGAATTTAAAGTGAATTATTTCTTGTAATGGAATCGATGACGTTATTTGCGTTGGAAGAATTCAGAGTTCAACAATATGATTTTTCCAATGTGAAAAATTGTCTGTAGAACGCGTTCGTCCAAAGAAGCCAGTATAGCGTGATTTTCAATTCTTATGGATACTCTACTAGAATATATGAGCAAATGAAATATCCACATCATAATTCATGTATATAATGTCGTGAATCTATAACCTTTTTGGATTCGTTGTTACTACTTTTCTTGTGTGATGGCACACAGGCATGGCATATTTTCTTGCACTTCAAGTTTCCGGCGGATGTGACGACAACATCGCCCTCAGTCACCCCAGACGGATGATTCCGCCGACACTCGTCCCTAACCTGCTGACCAGCAGCTGTGGTTATTGCTTTAGACAGCGTCCCCGAATCCAAATTTAAATTCTTGCCGACACTATTGACAATCATGTCCACCTAAAAAAAAAACAAAAAACCAACGCAATTCGTCATAAATACATCTTTTTTATTTTACCCCTCTTTTGCAAAATAATCTTGTCCCTATTTAAAATTGTCCCAGAAATAGCTGTGGAAAAATGGCTCTGTCTTTTTGTAATTCGGGACATCACTTAAGTAAAACAGCAAAAAAAAAAAAAAAAAAAAAAATAAAAAAATAAATCAAATGATGATTTTGAATGATTCGAAACCTCTGAAAGCTTCGTATCCATGAGAAGCTGAAGAATGTCGATTCTTTTATGCTGACATTGCCCTGTTATTTTTATGCTGACATTGTCCTATTACTTTTATGCTGACATTTCTCTGATACTTTTATGCTGACATTTCTGCTACTTTTATACTGACATTGCTCTGTTACTTACTTTTATGCTTACATTGTCCTATTACTTTTATGCTAACATTGCCTTGTTACTTTTATGCTGACATTGCCTTGTAACTTTTATGCTGACATTGCTTTATTACTTTTATGCTGACATTTTTCTGTTACTTTTATGCTGACATTGCTCTAATACTTTTATGCTGACATTGCTCTGTTACTTTTATGCTGACATTGCTCTGTTACTTTTATGCTGACATTGCTCTGTCACTTTTGTGCTGACATTGCTATATTAGTTTTATGCTGACATTGCCCTGTTACTTTTATGCTGACATTGCTCTAATACTTTTATGCTGACATTGCTCTAATACTTTTATGCTAACATTACCCTGTTACTTTATGCTGACATTGTTCTGTTACTTTTATGCTGACATTGCCCTGTTACTTTTATGCTGACATTGCCCTATTACTTTTATGCTGACATTGCTCTGTTACTTTTATGCTTACATTGTCCTATTACTTTTATGCTGACATTGCCCTGTTACTTTTATGCTGACATTGCCCTGTTACTTTTATGTTAACATTGCCTTATCACTTTTATGCTGACATTGCCCTGTTACTTTTATGCTTATATTGTCCTATTACTTTTATGTTGACATTACCCTATTACTTTTATGCTGACATTACCCTGTTACTTTATGCTGACATTGCCCTGTTACTTTTATGCTGACATTACCCTGTTACTTTATGCTGACTTTGCCCTGTTACCTTTATGCTGACATTACCCTGTTACTTTATGCTGACATTGCCCTGTTATTTCTATGCTGACATTGCCCTGTTACTTTTATGCTGACATTGCCCTGTTACTTTTATGCTATCATTACCCTGTTACTTTATGCTGACATTGCCCTGTTACTTTATGCTGACATTGCCCTTTTACTTTTATGCATATATTGCTCTATTTAAGTACTAACCTGTTCCTCCTCCAGTTTGTCTATCTTTATCAAAACAGAGATCTGGTTTATCTTTAATCGACACACCTCTTTTCTTTCGATCTCTGTAAACAACAAGATGTGTTTGTGCAACACTGATGCCCCTGTTTTCTAGCGTGAAGGTTAAAGTTTCTCAATTGCAAATCAAACTCCAAGGTCAAGAGATGAAAATGCCCCCCCCCCCCCCCAAAAAAAGGACTTGTCTCAAGGAATAAACCTGTGAAATATGAAAGGCCAAGGACCAACTACAAAGTTATGACTTATATTAAAGTGTTTTTAAATGTGGGTTAAACTCCAAGGTCAAATAAAAAGGTACCCCGGTGAAGACATTGTCATAAGATATTAAAGCCCTAGCACCAACTGTTCAAAAGTTATGGCCAAGGTTAAAGTATTCAAAACTAGGTCAAGCTCCAAGGTCAATATCAAAAGGTCAATTACAAAGAATACACATGTGAAATGTTTTTAAGTGGGTCAAACTCAAAGGTCAGGTCAAAAAATTTTATATCCATGGAGAGAGCCTGGTACAGTAAATACACATAAAGTATGAAAGCCCTAGCCCCACCTGTTCAAATGTTATGACCAAGGTTAAAGTTTGGTAATTATTTCAAAAGTGGGTAAAGGTCAAACCTACACATGTCAAGAAGTATTCTGAGAAGCAATATTAGTCGCCAACCGATAAACGTCATCTGGTTCCCAGTAAAAAAATTACAAAGCTATTTTCTGTAAAAATAATTGAAGGAGGAAGAAATTTAAACTTGATGTGTAACTCATTCAAATACTATCTGCAAGCGTTTAGAAAAAAAACAACAGAGGGACAGACAGACAGACAGACGCAAAGGATAACTATAGTCCCCTCCGGATTCACCGGCAGGACTTATTATGAATGCAATAGCTCAAACCAAAGTTATAGGGAAGATTTAATTTTTGCGGACAAACAGAGCAAAAATATATTATACGTGTATACCAACTGACCAAGAATCACTGTTGGCCATGTTGTAAGTTTAAAAAAACTTGTCGTTTTTCATTGAGTACTAGCAACGGGCAAATGAAAATTCTTCAATAAATTGGATGTGGAGGAGGCTTTTGAAATTGTTTATTTTTATACATTTAAGTGTACTTTTCTAATACCTGTATTTACGTTTAGATCCCATCTCTTGACAGCATCGACAAATGCCTGCAAGGAGAACGATAAAAAAAAATACAACAAAAATTAAGAAAACAAATACTAGAGACATTCAGTATGTTGTTAGCACTAACATTTATTTACCTTCAGTGTTTCATTGTCCTCGGGATGTATGACAAAACGAACTTCTTTAAGTTTGGTTTGAGGATTGGCGTCTATATACCGGCCTACAGCTCTACACGCGTTTCTTGCCGCCACTTGCTTTGGGAACTTGAGAAAGCCGGTGGTCAGGCCCGGTAGAGCAATGGTGGAGAATCCGCGGTTATCTACCTCTGTCAGACAATTTGAAATAAACTGCATATGTACCTAAAACACAGGATTGTATAAGTATAAGAAGTTTTTTTTTTTAAATGTCTTAATTAGACAGCTTTACCTGAGTGTTGTTAGTCTAATTATGTTTGGCTGAAAAGAGGTATCTTACTATAGCCTTCAAATTCCGCCATTTTCATTCCTACGAAATTTTCATGATAATTGTAAAGATTTATCTATCATCATGTAGCAGTATACTGTTATTATACATGAACATGCATATGAAGTGCACGTTCCCAAGTGAACGATACGCAAGAGCATTACCTGAGTACAAACGGTTTCTAAAACGAAACAATGTATTGACAAATAAGTTGACGATATAAGGTAGGGATGTCAAAATATTAATTTTCCTTAGTCGAACATTCGATTGCATTATTCGAACGATAGTCGACTATTCGGAGCATTTATTATTTTTATATAGCACAGTGTTTTTGAAAGCTAATTAATTAAAATAAATTGGGAAAATGAAATAAATTGGAAATGGGGAATTGTAAACACACACTATCCACACCTCCGATGAAAATGTTAAATACTGTTTTCAATTAATGATTGCCCAAGCTATATATCAAACTGTCCTTTATGTAAGATTATTTTCTAATAATTATCGAACTTTAAAACTTCACGGCTATGCAAATATTGTGTTTTCCTAAGCATTTGAAATTCCTAGAGTTTATAAATATAATTCAAAAATTGGTACAAGTCAATTAAATAATTTTCATAGTACAGTATGGCGTTGCATAATTTAATACGTACAATAACAAAAAAAGTCAGTGATTGAGAAATAATAATCGCGGTATGTAATTACTGTATTTTCCATATGTACAATGCGGAAAATTATTTGTATACTGTGAGTAGTATAAACGGCCTAGATGGCTGGGTCAATATCTAGGACATCCCACTGAGGGGGGATAGCTGGGTCAACTGAGTGCACTTTTAGGGTTGGGGGGATAGCTGGGTCAAGCGAGTGCAGCCCCTGTGGGGGATAGGCGGGTCACTGGAGTGCAGCCCCTGTAGGGGATAGGTGGGTCAAGAGAGTACAGATTAGTGGGTCTGTGGGGGATAGCTGGGTCAACTCAGTACAGCCCTAACCCTAACCCTACGGGGGACTAGGTGGGTTAGTACATAGCCCCTATATGTCCTATACGGGGTGTTTACACTGTGTTTACATTATACACTATACGCTGCTACTACGATTCACAACGCTGCTACTACGATTTTGGCAGCGAGTCAAAAGAATGTGATTATGACGTCACGCTTCACAGTCTAGACAGTCTAGCCTAACCAGTTCAAACTGGATTTTCTGAAAACAATAACAAAAGACAGATGATAACAAGGCAATTTTATTCAGAATTCAGAAATCTATTCTCCAAATGTTGTTTTTCGTGTCAGCAATAAAGGGAATGCGACAATATATATACACTGTATAAGTCTCTGGAAGAATTCCTTGTTTCTTTCTATGTTCGAATTCACGAAAACAGCTTTCAATCTGGTTTTTCCATCCACTTTCCTTACAATAACAACTGAGCACCCATTTGTATCTTTGATAAAATAAATAACCATTTTTTCTCTTCAGACAGTATTGGTCCTCTCTGGTGTCATAATCTTCAGGATCCAATTCCACTCTTTTTACCAACCACACTCTTTTTTGGTATCTGGGACTAAATATTCTATGGCGTTTATAAAAATCCTGGATCGCTTCTTCTTTAGTTTTCATCCATTTTCCAAAGCTTGATCCATTGACTGACCAACAATACTCCGTTTTCTTTGTCATATTTTTTATCTGCTCCATTTTTTTTACCTGTGTCGAATTCAGAATGCTAACGAAGTGTGAACGTCAATGTCCAGCGCTGGTTTGTATACCTGCTGTGTGCCGTGTGCAAAAATACGTTTTACCTGCGTTTTCTTATATACCTGTTGCATCACCTGTAAAGGGCCGTGTGCAAAAAATATGCTGACTACACAGGTAATACTTGGCAGCGATTCAAGTTTGTTTAGGGCCGTGTGCAAAAAATATGCTTACCTATGCATTGTGACGTCATCCACTGTATAAATACAGGTTTTCTCCTACTTTCAGCTCATTCTACAGTCAGAGCCAGCTCCCTGCCTGGGGGTCATGGATTCTACTAGAGAAAAACAGTTACATGCTCAACGATTATTAGAATGGAAAAAAAGGGAGAGAGAATTAGATCAAATTCTTGATGAAAATAAAGAGCGAGAATTAGAGCTTAGGAAAAGAAATGCGGAAAGATTACAGAGAAGAGCTCTACAAGAACAACAACGACAACGACAACTACAACGACAACGACAACTACGGAGAGAGAATTAAATCAAATTCCTGATGAAAATAAAGAGCGAGAATTAAAGCTTCGGAAAAGAAATGCCATACTATTACAGAGAAGAGCTCAACTAGAAAAACAACGGCAGCAACAGCAAAGGACTAGGGCGCATGAGGGGTCAAAGTTCCCTATTCATTCACCACCCAAACCCAAGGCCATATCCCAGTATTATCGAGTCACAGTGAATCAAAGGGTGCACTCTAGAAAATTTAAAGCTCAACAGGATTTTTACACTGTGATTTTTAAGGAGTTTCCAGAGGAAGAAAACAGAGGATTTGTTCGGCGATTATTCAGACACATGTTACAAACTTTCAAATCGAAAATGCAGTGTAATCCTAACGATTACCTCCGCCTGAACATACGCCACAAATCTCTGGAATCAGAGATTTGGTACGAGTTTACTCAATGTAAACATTTTAACGAGGACGTCATTTTAGACAAGATTGAAGCCGTGCAACAATCCAGAAAGGAGTTCAAACTGGGCGACGGGGGCATGGAATTTGATATGTTTCGGATCAAGTATCCCGAAGGAAGTGGTGGAGACAGAACCAAACATCTACAAGTGAATAAGGAGACTTTTAAGAACAATAAAAGAGCCATCGTTCGGATCGTCAATCCCTGGGATAAATTTTGTTTAGCTAGAGCCATCGTCGTCACTCGATTACACAGTCAAAAACCCGAACATCCAGACCCCGAATGGGAAAAACAATGGAAACGCATGAGATTAGGCGATAGGCAATCCTTGAACCAGAAACGAGAAGCCATAGCCCTCATGGAACAGGCCGAGTGTGATATCACTCAAGCTTGTGGATATGCAGAGTGGACGAAATTACAACAGGTGTTAGCTCCCCAGTATCGACTGAAAATATTTCAGTTCAAGTCTACTTCGACTAAACTCACCTTAGAGCGCATCTTCAAAGGCTGGGGAGATGGAACTTGTTTGAACATATTGTTAGACGACCATCATTACGACGCCATCATATCCATGCCGGGAGTAACGGGGAACCAATATTACTGTGATCATTGCGACGTGGGATACAGGACTGTCACAGAACATCGCTCCAAGTGTCCTCATCGCTGTACCTATTGTTTAGGACAACACCCTAATTGTCCCGATGAAGGGATCGAGATTAAATGTCGGGAATGCCATGGAAAGTTTAAGAACAGGACCTGCTACGAAAATCATTTAAGACCCCATAGTAAGAAGACCACCACTACTGTCTGCAATTTAATGGAACAATGCGAGAAGTGTCAGTCTTGGATACCTAAGAAATTATTCCCTCATCACAAATGCGGAGGACAGAAAAAGTGTAAGATCTGTAAGAAAATCGTCGATACCGATCATCAGTGCTACGTACAACAGAAGCCCCAGAAGAAGAAGAAGGGGAAAGGGACCTTAGAGTTTTACATCTATTTCGATTTCGAATGCACTCAGGAAACCGGCATTCACATCCCTAATCTGTGTGTGGCACACCGCGTCTGTCAACATTGCAGTCACTTACCCATAGACCAACCCTGTCCTCATTGTCAACACATGGGACCCCGTCAGCACCTATTTCAAGGACCAGACACCTTAAAGAAGTTCATGGACTGGTTATTACAACCCACTACAGGTACTAAGAATTCCACTTTAGTACACGACGAGGCCATCATCATCGCCCATAACTTCAAAGGCTACGACGGACAGTTCATTTTGAATCACCTGGTGCATTCCTCTTGCCTGAAACCTAACGTCATCATGACCGGCAGTAAGATCTTATACATGGAAATATGCGGACTGAAATTCATCGACTCGTATAGTTTCTTACCGTTTGCATTAGCCAAGATGCCCTCCGCTTTCGGATTCGACGAATTGAAGAAAGGCTATTTCCCTCACTTTTTCAATACGGAACAGAACCAGAATTACGTAGGACCTTATCCACCGGCAGCTTTCTACAAACCGGACGAAATGTCTACCAGCGGACGAAAAGCTTTTTTCCAATGGTACGACCAACAGAGGGGGAAAGTGTTTGATTTCCAGAAAGAGTTTGTAGGGTATTGTGTCTCGGACGTCGACATTTTACGCCGATGCTGTGCAAAGTTTAGAGCCACCCTCAAGAGTTTGGTCAATGTGGACCCTTTCCAGGAATCCATCACTTTTGCCAGTGCTGCTAATTTAGCCTACCGTCGACAATTCATGCCTGAAGACACCATAGCCATCATTCCGAACCTCGGGTATCAACCGGCACGACAATATTCGGCTAAAGCCTGTCGGTGGCTCACCTGGATGAGTCAACAGACTGGATGTCACATACAACATGCCAGAAACGGGGGCGAAATCCAGATCGGAAATTATACCGTCGACGGATACCAGGAAGCGACTCGCACCGTCTACGAATTTTACGGGTGCTATTGGCACGGATGCCCCACCTGCTATCCCAGTTTACAGACCGAAACTCATCCTCACCGGACCCAATTTACTTACCAGCAATTACACGAAGAAACCCTCAGAAGGACTGGCGATTTAGAAAACATGGGGTATACCGTCCGTGGTATCTGGGAGCACGATTTCGATCAGCAAGTGCAAAAAGATGAGAGTTTACAGCAATTTGTAGGAAACCTGGACATTCCCGATCCTTTGAAACCTCGAGAAGCCCTGTACGGAGGTCGGACCAATGCCACCCGATTATATTGTGAGGAAGGGGACATGAGATACGTGGACGTTTGTTCCCTATACCCTTACGTGTTGAAACACAGACCATTTCCCGTAGGGCATCCCGAGATCATCACAGACGAGTTCCAGGACGTGAGAAGTTATT